TTAATCTTAATTTCGAAAGGATTAAATTTTGATCATTTTATATTTCTTAAGTATCAAAAAATCTCACAAACTACGCGAGACTCATTTCAATTGTTTCGTAAAAAAATTGAAAAGAAAATAGAATCGTTTTAATTTTTAATGATTATAAGAGATCTCGTTAATTGCGAAAGGATTAAATTTTGATCATTTTATATTTCTTAAGTATCAAAAAATCTCACAAACTACGCGAGACTCATTTCAATTGTTTCGTAAAAAAATTGAAAAGAAAATAGAATCGTTTTAATTTTTAATGATTATAAGAGATCTCGTTAATTTCGAAAGGATTAAATTTTGATCATTTTCTATCTTACGTATCGTAAAAAATCTTACAAAACTACGCGAGATCCATTTCAATACACGGTCAATAATTTCAATAGTGAATTAAAGAAAAGATCGCTTTAATTTTTAACGTGATCGTATCTTTTAATAGATCTCGTTAATTTCGAAAGGATTAAATTTTGATCATTTTATATTTCTTAAGTATCAAAAAATCTCACAAACTACGCGAAATTCATTTCAATTGTTTCGTAGAAAAATTAAAGAGAAAATAGAATCGTTTTAATTTTTAATGATTAAAAAGTTAAATTTTGATCATTTTCTATCTCTTAAGTATCTCCATTTCAATACCCAATTGTTTCGTAATAAATTAAATAATAGAATCATTCTAATTTTCAATGATTAAATCTTCCAATAATATCTAGTTATTTTCAAAAGGATTAAATTTCCTGTATCTCTTACATATTACAAACAATCTCACGAGACGTTTCGAACTACAAGATCCACTTCAACATACGATTATTTCGTACAAATAATTTAAAGAAAAGATAGAATCATTCTAATTTTCAATAATTAAACCTTCCAATAATATCTAGTTATTTTCAAAAGGATTAAATTTCCTGCATCTCTTACATATTACAAACAATCTCACGAGATCCACTTCAACATACGATTGTTTCGTACAAATAATTTAAAGAAAAGATAGAATCATTCTAATTTTCAATAATTAAACCTTCCAATAATATCTAGTTATTTTCAAAAGGATTAAATTTCCTGCATCTCTTACATATTACAAACAATCTCACGAGATCCACTTCAACATACGATTGTTTCGTACAAATAATTTAAAGAAAAGATAGAATCATTCTAATTTTCAATAATTAAACCTTCCAATAATATCTAGTTATTTTCAAAAGGATTAAATTTCCTGCATCTCTTACATATTACAAACAATCTCACGAGATCCACTTCAACATACGATTGTTTCGTGCAAATAATTCAAAGAAAACATAAAATCTCTGTAATTTTTAACGTGATTGTACATATTCTAAACGATCTCGTTATAATCTGAAAGGGGTTAAATCTCGGCCGCGATTGATATTCCACGGACGAAATTCTCGATCAAATATATATATATATATACATATCACCTGTATCTCTTGTGCGTATCTGTTGGCTCGAAGCCCGAGGGTATTGAAACGTCGGCCAAGTATGGCCTCGAGGCCCTCAACCGTATTATGAAACAAGTTGTATTATGCAGATGAAGGGAACGCACGCGCCGCTGAAAACTGGGACACCAGACAAGCCCTTTTACGGGAGCTTGTTCCCGGCCAATCGCGATCCGCCTCTCCGCTTCCCTTCCTTATTCGAATACGTCTTCTTTCTACTCGACCCCTCCCTCGAAGGTGATCGCGGTTGAAAATTTTAAGGAGAAGGTGATCCGCTCGTCGAAGGATAACCCAGCCTTCCCGAAAAATCAAGGATGCAACGAAAAAGAAGAAGAAAGAAAAAAAAATCGTTTCCATTTCCATACGTGGAAGGTGATTCAGAAGAGCGGATGACAATGAAGTCGATTAATTCTCGCGGTCGAGCTTCTTTTTTTTTTTTTTTTAATCCGAGCCAAGGACGACGTTCTGGAATTACACGCTTGAAAGAGGGGCTGGAGGGGAAAAGGAAAACTTGGAAATCGGGTCAAAGACGATCGTTCCATTCTCGATTCGATCTCGATCATCATTCTCCTTCGAGTCGCTCTCAATTAGCTATTTCGTTTTTTTTATTTCATTCAATTAGCTATTTTTGGGTTTGAAAAGTTTAATATTTGTCACAAGATAGGCGGCTTCGAATGCAATTCAGGTTGGAAAAAAACGATTGAGATCGAAAATTGGTCGCTTGGTTGTTAAACCTAACCTAACCTAACCTAACCTAATCTAACCTTCCACTATGTTTATTTGTATAAACGAATGAGACGGATTGCTGGCGATTATCGGCTTCGATCTTTCGACGATTCGAATTTTGAGGATGATCGAAATTTGTTGGATCGGTCGGCGCGAATCGAGGGAAGAATCGAGCGAAAAATTGGACGATATTTCGAATATGGCGGATGGTAACAGTGGTTATAATAAAGGATCGGGAGAGAATATTCGATCGAGTCGAGTCCTCTCTGTTCTGCATCGAAATTTGGCGCGCGCTTCGTGTTTTTTTCATGTTCTTTTTTTTTTTCTTTTTTTTTATATCAACCTTTTACGGGACGATGGATTCAAACGCATCGATACGCGCGACGAGTCTCGCGAAATCTCTCTTTGACAAGTTTCCAATTTCTAAATGGCCTCGCCTCGAACTAAACTCTCTCGAACGAGGCGCGCTCACCTCAATGGCGCCGATAAAACATCCCCAATTTTAATTCGATATTTACGTATCTAATTTCTTTTTTAACGATTCTGACGACGACGAACGTACGTGTTTTTTTTGTGCTTACCTCGTCTTTTTTTCTTTTTAGAAATTTTTCCATGTTAAATTGTTTCCATTGTCGAAAAATAAAATGAGAGACACGAAACGAAATGAACGTGTTTTTTTGTGTTTATCTCGTCTTTCTTTCTTTTTAGAAATTTTGGAAATTTTTTCACGTTAAATTGTTTCCATTGTCGAAAAATAAAACCTTAAAATTCGATATTTACGCCCTTCGCTCTTCTAATATTTTTTCTTTTTTAACGATTCTGATGAGATGAACGAAACGAACATGTTTTTTTTTTGTGTTTATCTCGTCTTTCTTTCTTCTTAGAAATTTTAGAAATTTTTCCATGTTAAATTGTTTCCATTGTCGAAAAATAAAATGAGAGACACGAAA